ATTAACACCACTGGTAACGGATTAACGCCGTTGGATGCTGGCTCAGTGGTCTAGCTGGTTAAGCGCCTGGCGCGAGACTGGTAGGTCCTGGGTTCGAATTCCGCGGGGGGCGGGATCGTGGATGAGCACTGCTGAGGAGTCTCATACTAGGACGAAACGGCCGTCCACTGCTTCCAGGTTTTTCATGGTGGTCTAGCTTCAAATGGCTCACAATTTCAACGAGTGAAAACTTCACTATATTAGTGAAACTTAAAAATGAATTTTTTCTCTCTTTTTTTGAAAAAAAATTCCATTAGTAATGAAAAACGCAAATCATGTAGAAAGTATAATAAGTATTGAGTCGATGTAGGTATAAAAAATAAAATCAAAATGATACGAATCCTTTAACTTTAAGATGCAGTGTGATTACTCTATGTGAATAATAATGGCTCAGTTTCATTATATGTTACAATATTCGATGAGAAATTTTCATTACAATGCTGATTCAGAAAATGACCATCTCTTCTGATCAATTACAGTTTCTATTTGAGTGACAACAGAAGCGTTTCAAAAAGAGCCAGTTGAATGTTTTAGACAATTTACGCATACGACTGCTAAATCATCCATATTTTGAAGATGTGACAGTTGATAAGTTAATTTCTAATTTGCGTACAGAGTTGGAAAATGACTGCAGAAAGCCTCCGTGAATCCTTGATAAGCGGTAATGTAAATGAATTAGTGGCAGTTATTCATGATGCGCCCAGTGATCCAGAAATGTCCATTTTAGAGACATGCCCTGTCTTGGGTTCAAATCCCATTGTCCCCGAAATACCATGTACAAACACTGACTTGTCCAACTCATAGAAACACGATCTCTTATTAAATGCTCATAAAATTATTGCAGTATCCGCCCACGAAGAAACAGAAAATGAATCAAGCAGCATAATGAAAACAGTTGCATTAAATGGAGCTCGTCATTCTACGACAAAAGTTCCTGATGAATCTACTTATCGGGGTTCTCTAGTTGTTTTAACAGATATGAGTTATCTTAGTGACTCACATGTTTTTGATCAAATTTCTTACAAAAATGAGGAAAGTTTGTCGGATGCATCAAACGATGGTAAAGAACCTAATAAAATTTTGATAGACGCTGATTATTCTAGTGGTCGATTATCTACTAATAAGATTTTCAAGAGATTTGATGAAAATGTTTCACAAGAATCAGACCTTAATGACCTCATATCTAGTGTCGTTGATCCGTACCATCTAATCAGTCCTAGTGGACTCTCTACTCAATGCGTGAAATACGTTTTAAATAGAGTCACACTAACTGTAACTCGAGAATATGAGGACCCAACATTATTTCGTGGGGAAGGATAAAGTCAGAAAATTCAGTCAGAATCTAAATATTGAGTCTTCAAAAAAAGAAGAAGGGAAGGTGATATGACGAGAAGAAAAGTCATAATTCAATTGACAAGTTATAACAATTCAAATATTATTGGGTTGTTATTTTCAACCGATAACAAATAAATCAGCGAACAGTTTTTTTTTAAAAAATATGGTTTAAACATTAGAACAACACATGTAAGAGAATAGTTGTTTTCAATTAGATCATCATCAGGCTTTACTCTCATATACATGAATGTTTATACAAATTATGTTAAATCAATCAAGGCAATTTCAGTCAATAATCACAATGAAATAGAATACATCACCGCATATAATAGGTAAAAGTACAGGTTGACAGTAGGAAGACAGGTATAAACATTAACATTTACGTGTCAAACATTTTATAATGTGACTGAGAAACCTCTATAATTATACTAATTATAACTTCTTTTAAAGATGAAGTTTTATCCGTGAAAAAGAAAAAAGAAAATGGAATCCTACAGAGCTAGTAGTGAATGAATTTAAGTATTTCTTAGGGAATCCACTAATGTTATATAATAACTTGTATATTGGGAATTTTCCATCTTATAAATAGTTTATCAATTGTCATTGTGAATTATGGTATATATAATTTATTTATCGATAATATGACCAGTAAACAAGAAAAAGAGGATACTTCAAATTGTAAAATTGATTTTAAATAAGAGATATGAATAGATGAATACTAACTAACACCTTTTGTTTCCAACTATATACCGATCATAATTTAATGGATAGACAAATATAGAATTAAAGTTTTAGAGTAAATCAACTAGAAACAAAACATTTAAATAAAACAGTTTTTGTTATTTACTTTAACGTTAATTTCATTAAATGACCTTAAAACTAAAAAACGAAGACAGATATAAAGAAAAATTATCATATATATATATATTAACATACGACGCATGTTGTCGAATCCCTCAGACGAGTAAGTACATTGAAAATCAATCTATAGAATCCGATCAGTACTAAAGGAATCGAAAAACATTACCGTAAGACAGAAAAACTAGCAAGCTAAAAGTGGTAACAATTATGAAAGAGCAAAAGTTATGAGGAAATATGGATCAGAAGAAAAGTATAGAGTTATCCTAACAGGAGAGAAAAATTAGCATTTATTAACAAAAACTGAATAAATTAGGATCTCTAAATAATCAGTGGTAATTTAACAGCACTGATAGAATGATGAAATGCGAGACAACGTGATCATTGAAAATACAGTCATGATAAATGTATTTTAGAAAACCGAAAGTACAATAATTTTATCCTCTTCAGCACACATGGGACATGTCCATTGTTTGAAACACCTTTGAAATTCCTAGACTTATAAGTACTTATCAAGCGAACCAGTATCTCCTGGTAACTGTGCTTATTATGATAAAAAAGCACACAAATTTTCAATTATTATTATTAGTAGTAGTAATAGTGGTAGTAGTATTAGTATTAGTATTGGTATTAGTAGTAGTAGTAAAAGTGTCGAGGTAGTAGACCAAAATATTACTTTAGACTCATAACAGTATCATAAGATTTGCATTTACTTGACTGACACGTTTAATAAATTTAAATTATCAATTTACACTAGAAAAATAATGATGTTTAGGTATTTAGGTGTGTTACACATTCTACACATATATGGATGTCGAAATATTAGACGTACCTAGATGTGGAGCGATATATATATATATATATATATATATATATATATATACTTCATTGTGTTAACGAATAGAAGGTATTTTAATAAATAAAGAAACAGATTTGCAAAAATGTGCTTTCTAAATATTGTATGGTATGATGAAAAAAAACAGGAAATCATAATGTTTAAACTTAGAACATCATTTGTTTAACAGATATGACATAAATGAAAATGACAGCAAATTTCAAAGTACATACATAGACCAGGAAAAAATGTATAAATAGATATATACATAGTTCAAGATGTATTGGTAAAATAGCTTGTTGAAAATCCCTATTAATACTGTCATTGAAGACTATTTATAGAAAAAGTTAGTACTGGTTGCTAAATTGTTAACTTTTAAGGAATTAAAAAGGGTGGGATTGAGATATCGTTTTACGTCTAACCTCAATAAATCTCATGACATCAATCATTGTATGAAATCCCACTAAAACATAAACTTAGTCCTAATAATCCAAGTTGAAATAATGCTTGTTGTTATTAGCCACATGGCCTTTAAGAGTAGAAGACACTCGTAAGCTACTAGTATTTGAACACAGATGCCTTAGAAATATTGCTGGCGTCTGCTGGGATCACCGAGTAAGTAGTAGGGAGGTTAGACGTAGGGTATTAGGGAACGATGGTAAATCAGTTGATGGGGTTGTGAATCATCATCGACTGAGATGGTTGGGCCACGTGTTACGTATGCCCGAACACCGACTACCACGACGTGCAATGCTAACCGGCGTTCGGGATGGTTGGAAGAAAGTTAGGGACGGCCAAAACCAAAACGTGGCATCAGTGCTTGAAGTCACTAACTTCTAGTCTGAGCCATGTTGGTAGATGCAGACTACTTGGTTGGGGTCCGCGTGACTGTCGTAACCAATGGTTGGAGACTCTTGGTGACATGGCTCAGAATCGATCACAATGAGGTCGGTGTATACACTCTCTATCTTCCCTTAAACTAAGAGATTAAAATTGCTTCATATTTTTCTTTCTACGAACTAATTCTTTCTTCCTGTACTATATCCTTATTGCAATCTCTCTTTTACATATTACCACCTCTGAATTCACTACTTTTATGAATCCGGTGTCCATCTTGTTGTGTTAATAAGGTATGGCAACTTGGACCGATGCATAAATGTGCCTGGTCCTACGTTGTAGCTAACTGACTGACTGATTAGCCACAGAACACTTGAATGAACAATTAACTTAGAGGGTTATTTCGCCATCGTTTTGGATTATACTCCATAGTGGACATTGATGATTCATATTATGGATCAAAATCCAATGCTTTCATTTTTCACGAGGAGAATGATACCATTTGCATTATTGATCTGTAACCTAACAGTTGGTTTTTCTAAATTCAATCGTTTGCCGATTATAGCTCAACTGTCTAATAAATACTGTTTACAAAAAAAGGGATACGAAATCAAATACTTCCATTTATTTTAATTTTAAGCATACATCAGTAGTAAGTGAGAGAAATTGAAAAACGATTGAAAAAGTCAAGTATAGGGAGAGAGTAAGAACCTCTTAGTTTATATATTTAGAATGCGTACTGTTTTATATTTCTCCTCATAGCCCTCATGATAGACTATGTTTTAGCTTTCTGGTTGTTGACATATCTGTTATGCCTTATGGCGCTGTCAAATATCACGTGAAAAAACGTCAATCAGAATACCGACTAATATGACATTGTCCCCACGCTAAGCAATGATGCGTTACCAGCACGAGCAGCCTTGAGTCAACTCTGAGTCCATATTGGTTATCTGTATAATAGCTTATTGACTAATCCAGAATGTTCAATACATAATACAAATATCAGCCTCCGCTGTATGAATAACATATTTCAGACACATGTGGTTTATATGCACGAAGACCATATCGCATCACGCCATAAAATGCAGAATAATTATTATACAAGATCAAGCCAAAAGTGGTTGTGAGTATGGGATACTGAAGCTAAAAAAATTGGGAATAAATTAAGAATGGTAAATCGTATAATAGTAGCTAATATGTCAAATGAAAGCTCACGATAAAAGGAATATGAATATACATATTAGGCACTCAGCTACAACGTAGGACTAGACACATATATGCATTGGTTCATTAGCACAACAAGGTGAACATCAAATTCATAGAAGTAGTTACTTCAACGGTAGTAATATATGAAAGGAAGATTGTGTATAAGAATATAATACAGAAAGAAATAATTAGTGGACCTCCTGGAAGGAGATCAATGCCCGGAAATTCAGTCGACGAGAATGTTATTTCTAGCAGTAAGTTTATGATGAAATTACGCGATAGTCATCCAATACGAATATATGCGATAATAGTCTATAAACAAACCCTAGCAGTTATCATAAATTTATTCTTCGTTCGGATGTAACAATATCTATAACTGTTCATATACTACAGTCAATAAACCATAAGAGACTGTTAGCCATCTTCGTATCACAAATGTTCTGGTTATGCACCAATTTCTTGTTATATGGTACGTTGCGTTTTTCGGTTTTATCTAAATAGTCAAATAAGTTATTTACCAAAGTCAAAACGTACTCAAACCATTCATTTAATATTTTGATGTTTTCAACAAAAGTGTGAAAATTCGTGTGGCATATCTGTTGTATGAGCGATTACTGAAAAACATAGGCTGCACGGATTCAGACGTACCTTGTGTCTATGCTAACATATCAGCCCAATGTCAAACGGAACGTAAGAGACACGCGATTGGATGAAGCCGGTTATCTAATTTGTCAAGATCTTACCCTACTTTTCGTTATATAACTCCGGACAATACATATTTATTTCAATGGGTTGTGTAAAATCTATATCGTTTGCCATTTCACACATTTAACTCACCTACCAAGTTGGACAAGCATATAGTAGGGAAAGTGTATGTGTGTATCAATCGGAAGAGTTACATGATTTAATGTTAGTAACGTACACAAGACCCTGAGAACAGCTGTGTTAGCGGGACATAGACCGGATTAAAGCATGCTCAATGCATGATTGCTTTGGTGCACGCTGATTGGCTAATTCTTAACCAATCAGCACTAGTCGATAGTTGGAGAACACTCTAGAATCTTCTCATGTAGGATACTATAAATATACTGACGTTTTTCTCTATTGTGCTTCTGACTTCCATCTAACCTTGTTATTTGGAATATAATCTCTTCCTGTTCAACCGTGTTTTGATTTGGGGACTTGTCGAGTGAATCGGTGTCCGAGAATACTAAGCAATAGGAATAGCCGGGTCATAACCGTAAGAAAAGCGATATATAACAGTGGCGACGGGGAAAAAGGAAAACAAATTCAAGATGCCTATATCAGATGACCAGCTTAACCGAATACTACAACAACAGCAAGCACAACTTGATGCACAAATGCGGTTGTTGGAGACTCTGACTCGACAGTTCAACATCCACAGTTCGAGTTCACACGCTATTTCAAGTTCGTCTTGTGATGCAGTTGCTAGCAGCATCCCAGAATTCGTCTATGATCCCGAAAATGGAAATACTTTTCTCACGTGGTTCAGACGTTGGGAAGATACATTTAGAACAGAATTCTGTAATCAAGACGATGCGTGGAAGACCCGATTGTTGGTACGTAAGTTGGGAAGCAACGAACATGCACGTTTTGCTGACCATATTTTGCCAAAGTTACCTCGAGAGCTCAGTTTCGAGGAGACGGTATTTCAGCTGTCAGAGATATTCGGCGAGTCATCCTCGTTGTTTAGTATTCGATATCGGTGTCTAAATTTGGTGAAACGCGAAGCTGATGAATATGGTGTTCTAGCAGACATTGTCAACAGAGAATGTGAACGTTTCAAGTTGCGCTCGTTGACTGATGACCAATTTAAATGCTTAATATTCATCAAAGCTCTTCAGTCACCACAAGACGCTGAGATCAGGACTAGACTTTTGGCTCGACTGGACCAAGATCCAAACGTCACACTCAGAACATTGACAGATGAGTGTAAGCGTCTACAAAGCATCAGACACGACAACGAGTTGATTGAACAGGTAAATCCTAATTTAACCTGCGGTAGTGTAAATACTATTACTAGGTTAAAAGTTCAGAAGCCGGTAACAACTCGTAACAAACCAAGGACTGCATGCTGGTTATGCGGTGATTGGCATTATGCACGATTCTGTCCGTTCAAGAAGCATAAATGTCAGGAGTGCAACAAACGTGGACATAAAGAAGGTCATTGTCCACCGAAGCGTACGTCTCAGCCTAAGAAGAAGCATAAACGTCCTCGACATGTGAAATCAGCCGAGTCCAAATCTCTTTCTTTGGTAGCTGCCTTTCAAACAAACTATGACATTCAGAGAAAGTATGTTACTATCCAGATAAACGGCATATCAGCTCGTCTTCAAATTGACACGGCATCAGATATCACGTTAGTGTCTAGAGAAACATATAACTTGCTGGGTAAACCGCCAATGAAGCCATCTAAGAAAACGGCTAAAAACGCATCAGGTGGTGTGCTAAAACTGGTTGGTGAATTACAGTGTGAATTTTCCTTCAATGGAACTAACTGTACAGGAATATGTTACCTAACAGAACGGCCGAACCTTGATCTTCTTGGTCTAGATATGTTAGACAAACTTGGAATAATGGATGTACCAATTAACAGTGTCTGTAACGTATCGTGTTCATCATTGAACAGCTCAGTACTTCCAAAGAAGACAGGTGAAAGGTTACTAGAAAAACTGAAAAGAAAGTTTGCCTCTGTTTTTCAGAATAGCCTTGGCCACTGTACCAAGATGAAAGCGCATTTACCAGTAAAACCAGATGCCATACCTATTTTTCGCCCGAGACGTCCTGTACCATATGCTGCTCTTGAGCTAGTCGACCAGGAACTTAATCGCTTGCAACAGGCTGGTGTAATCCGACCAGTTAACTACTCTGCATGGGCCGCACCGATCGTAGTGATTAAGAAGGCCAATGGGACTATACGCATATGTGCCGATTTCTCGACCGGTTTAAATGCTGCATTAGATGTATATCAATATCCATTACCAGTTCCTGAAGACCTGTTTGCCAAGCTTAATGGTGGGACATGCTTCGCGAAAATAGACTTCTCTGATGCTTATCTCCAAGTGGAAGTAGATGAAGATAGTAGAGAGCTTCTGACTATTAACACTCATCGAGGGTTATTTCAATACACTCGTCTACCATTTGGCATCAAGACCGCACCCGCCATCTTTCAGCAAATAATGGATACGATGCTAACAGGTATACCTGGTACAGCAGCTTACCTAGATGATATCATAGTTATGGGTTCAACTGATAGTGAACTTTCTGATCGACTACACCAAGTCCTTAACCGAGTGTTGGAGTATGGTTTCCAACTACGTGAGGAAAAATGTATCTTTTTCATGCATTCGATCAAATACCTTGGTTTTATCTTAGATAAGAACGGTCGCCGACCAGATCCTGCCAACATCGAAGCCATTCAGAAGATGCCTGCACCAACTGATGTTTCTTCATTAAGATCCTTCTTGGGGTTAATCAGTCATTACAGCACATTCTTGCCTGAAATGCATCGAGTGAGAGGTCCCCTAAATGAATTACTATCGAAAGATAAACCTTGGCAGTGGTCAGCAGAATGTCAAGCATCTTTTGACAGAGTCAAATCAATGCTCAGCTCAAAGATTCTTTTGACGCACTTCGATCCCAGCTTGGAAATTGTTGTTGCATCTGATGCCTCAAGTCATGGAGTTGGAGCAGTGATATCTCACGTGTTTCCGGATAAATCAGAAAAGACAATTGCCCATGCTGCTAGATCACTTACTCCAGCCGAGCGAAACTACAGCCAAATTGAAAAGGAAGCTCTTGCAATCATTTTCGCAGTCAAAAGATTTCATAAAATGCTCTATGGTCGTACATTTACTCTACTGACAGATCACAAACCTTTGATTGCAATCTTTGGTTCTAAGAAAGGAATCCCTGTCTATACGGCTAATAGACTACAGCGCTGGGCAACAATGCTCCTGAGTTATGATTTTAATATCAAGTATCAGTCAACAAATACTATCGGTCAAGCTGACGCTCTCTCCCGATTAATTGGAGTTCAACATCCTGGACCAGAGGATATAATCATTGCCTCCACAACAGTAGACCCAGAAATACGAAGTATAGTGGCAGATGCCATTCGAAACACTCCAGTGTCGTCAGATGAAGTCAGGGAAGAAACGCTTCGAGACCCAACACTACAAGAAGTTAGAAAGTTCCACCTAGAAGGGTGGCCCTCGAAAATCTATTCCACAGACCTTCAACAGTTTTACCAGCGAAGACTCTCTCTTTCAATCATCGATGACTGTCTGCTGTTTGCCGAACGTGTCATAATTCCCAAGAAGCTACAACCAGCAGTGCTTGAACAGTTGCATGCAGGACATCCTGGAATAAATCGCATGAAAGCACTAGCACGAAGTTATGTATACTGGCCGCATTTAGACACCCAACTGGAGCAGCTATCCCGTTCCTGTACCAAATGTGCATTAGCGACAAAAGCACCGCGAAAAGCAGAGCTGCAATCATGGCCAATACCACAGTTACCGTGGCAGCGTATACATTTGGACTTTGCTGGTCCACTCCATGGACAAAATTATCTTTTGGTGGTTGATGCATATAGCAAGTGGCCAGAAATTTTTCTCATGGAACACCCTACTGCAAACTGCACAGTCAGTAAACTACGTCAACTATTCAGTCGTTTTGGAATCCCGGAATTGATAGTTAGTGACAACGGAACACAGTTTACGTCCGGAATCTTCTCACAATTTTGTCGGCAGAACGGAATCCAGCACCTGCGAACACCTCCATTCCATCCCCAATCAAATGGCCAAGTGGAACGCTTTGTGAGTACATTTAAAAATGCTCTAAAAAAATCCAAAGGGGAAGGGACCACTGAAGATATCTTAGAGAGGTTCCTGTTTATTTATCGCTCTACACCG